GCCCAAGAGGTTTTGTCTTTTTCAGGCCAATGCTGATATCAGGATGGTGAGAGACTGACCTCAGATGCAGCATCACCATTTCAGGTGATGACACTCCATAATTGATGGGTCCCCTTCTTCAGAGCTTCTAATGACCCAATTAAATAATAATTTAACTCATAAGGGATGAGATCACGTCTCTCAAGGCCCTGTTCAGGCAACTTTTGAATATTCCCAAGGATAGAAATCCCACCACTTGTCTGGGTTCCTGTTCCAGTGTTGACCACCCTCATGCTGGAAATGTTTTTCCAAGAATCATTGGCAAATTAATTGCTCACATTTGGGGATTCCCATGTAAGGAGTCATTGTGGGAGGCTGAACGTGGTCTCCAAGCCCAGGAATCACTCAGAGCCACGTCTTGCAGATAGGAGCTGGGGTGGCCAATGCAGGATGGCAAACTCCAAAAGTGACAGACCAAGGGATACTCACAGGACAAGAGGATTAAAGTGCCTCCACTTTCAGGTCACACAGCTCCTTCCTGCAAGAGGTGACAATTACAGAACTCCAGGATCCACCTGAGCTCTGCTTTCCTGCCTGTGATAGGGGAGGCAGTTAGAGCCTGCTTTGGGAATGAATTACATACAATAATTAGAGACCCATTAAGGCAAAGTAATTATTGGTTTTATTATTGCTTTTATTACCGGAGAACCTAGTGAGATCCATACCAGGTCCTACACAAATACAGGACTGAGAACAATCCCTTCCCTGAGGAGCAAGAGGGAAGGGTTCATTCCTGCAAAACACCTCAGCACATTTAAAAATGCATTTGTGGGATTTTTTTCCCCTTGAGATCATCCCTAATCAGGAAAATTTTGATGCTGAAGGGTTTACAGCACAAGGTTTGGTTGCATCAAACCAGACCTTGGCACTGGCCCAATGGACACCAAAATGAGATGGGCAGATGAGAACCAGTACAGGGAGCCAAGAAAGGTCATCTAAGCATTTCTAAATGTCTTTGCTCTTTGTGGAAGTGCAGTACCTTGATTCACTTCAGTTATTCTTTGTAAATTGACAGATCCCTTGCAATCTTATGGGCTTGGATGGAGAGGGTGCAATCAGGAGGAGCTCAGGAATATTGCAAGGGAATTTTAATCAACAACTCTCAATGTAACATTGAAGCTGTGACTATGTCAGGGGTGGTGTTTTGTTTTGCCCTTCTTTTTTTTTTTCCTCCCCATGTATAAAGTTTGAAACTTCCCAGGTCATCTGGGAAGGTCTCATGGAAACAGACACTTATTTGTAAGAGGGAGAGGGAAACCAACCAACTGAACAAGCTGTAATTATTTAAAGATGTAAAAAAATATCTATTATGAAGTAGTATGGCTACCAATCCACGTAACTTCTACACCTTTAGAACTAATGGAAATAAAACAATGATAATAAAACCAGAAGGTTTCTGCTCGATTCTGTCTACCCTTGTAGGCTTCTTGGAGAGGGTGGGGGGGTAAATGATAAAATGAAAACATGAAATGCACATGGAGAAGAAATGGTGAAGTGGGTTCTGTCCTAGAGAGCTCACAATGAAAGATTACAGGGAATTTTAAGTCAGAAAATATGAGATCATGTTTCTCAGAGCCCTGTTCAGTCAAATTTTGAATGCACCCCAAGATGGAAATCCCACCACCTCCCTGGGTTCCTGTTCAGTGTCTGACCACCCTCATGGTGGAAATGTTCATCCAAATCATAGAATTTAAGGGGTTGGAAGGGACCTTAAAGTTAATCTAATCCCACCCCCTGCCACGGGCAGGGACACCTTCACTAGACCAGGCTGCTCAAGGCCTTATTGAATCTAGCCTTTGACACTTCCAGGGATGGGGCAGTCACAACCACATTGGGCAACCAACCAACCCTCAGAGTTAATAATTTCTTCCTAATATCTAATCTAAATTTCATCTCCTTCAACTTGTACCCATTACTCCTTGTCCTATATAAAATTCCTTTATCATAAATATTAGATTATTAATGAGAACCAAAATATTTGGTAAATTAATTGCCTAGACCTGAGAATTCCCAGGCAATGAGTCATTGAAGGAGAATCAATGTTGCCTCCAAGCCCCAGAGCCACACAGAACCCCCTCCTATATATAGGATTTGGGATGAAAAACTCAGTGGTGACATACCCAGCTTGGAGCAACTCAAAGCCAGGCTGGACAGGGGTTGGAACAACCTGGTCTAGTGGAAGGTGTCCCTGCCCATTGGAACTGGATGATCCCTAAGGTCCTTTCCAACCCAAACCAGCCTGTGACTATGATTTTAATATAAATGAGGAAAAGCCCCAGTACTGGTAGCACCCCAAACGCAGCAGAGAGGGCAAAAGCCCTTGGGGGCACTTAAAAACCATCACGACTGAGCTTTTTGGTTTTCTCTGTAACTTTTGCTCAGTAAGCCTTGTTCAGCCTGAACGCTTCCAGCTGAGCTCAGAGACAACACCCTCGAGCTGAAGTCAGGCTGTCAGCAAGGGCTGTGCCCCTGCAGAGTGGGAGGTGACTGAGCACAGCTCTCCTTAAGCACCCAATCACCCTGCCAGCTACTGCCCAGCTCCTTTCCCAGTCCAACCAGTTCACAGACCGGTACAGCCCGCGGGGTGAGTGACGCCAGCACCTGGAACCAGCCCATCCCTGCCCTGGCAGCCAACTGGGGAGCTCCCCTGCCATTTGGGGGTGGAGGATCTTCCTCCCTAATAAAAGGAAGTGGGTGGAAGGGGTTTGGCTGTAGGAGGTCCTGTTGAGGGTGGGTAGAGGTGCTGTGGGGGGTGGCTGGGGGCAGAGGAAGGGCCGTGAGTTGCAGAGGGGAGGCAATGAATTATGGAGGGAAGGCTGCCCAGCCTGCTCCCCAAATGAATGCGCAGGACGGGCCTGGGGAGAGCGGTGGATGAGAGCTGGATGCAGGAATGTGGGGTTTTGTGGAAAAGCAGTGGGTGCTTTCACTGCCCTGGGGGGCGATGTGGGTGAGAAGGGGGTGGGAACTCAGTGCCTGTTTTCTTAGGATGGCTGAAAACTGATGCTTGGCTGAGTGAGAAGAGGGAGAGTTCTGCACCCCCCTGGCTGTATGGGGAAGGTCAGAGCTGTGCCTTGAAGTCCCTGCTTGGCCCAGGGGTGTAAATTCACAGGGTGCAGGCAGAGCTGCAGCGAGCCTTGTCCTTGCTCTGTTCTGCTGTGGGTGCTGGGCTTTTGTCTGGGTATAAGGACTGGGAATGAGACCATACAGGGAGAGGATTTTTCCCGGAGGCCTGGATCCCTGCCCCACACCTGCAGAGGTACCAGCTCAGGTGGTCATGCTCATGGTGAGATGGGTGTCATGCCCTCAGAGGGCTGGGGATGGTTTCCCTGCTCATCCTCCTTGGAGAGGGGAGCACTTTGGATGAGACTGAAGTGGGTGTAGAGTAAAAATGTTAAATAGGGAGGTACGTGGGATAAGGATGGCAGATGCTAGTGGTTCTGATGTGCTGGGGAACAGGGCAGTCTTCCCTCTTGAGGAGGAGTGTTCCTTTGCTGTCAGACAGGCTATAGCTGGGGCAGTGTGAGCATTAATACCTTACAGAGCTCCCAGCACTTCCAGTCTCTCACAAAGGAGCCTGTGGAGAACTGACTTAGCAGCAGTCAGAGCTCTGCAGGCAATGAACGTCCCTGGGATGTGAGCTCTGGGCTGTATGAGCTGTCCTGAGGCTTAATCTGTGCTGCCTGACATGAAGGCAGTGCCTGATAGTCAGGACAGACTCCTTGGATGACTTGTATCCAGCTGTTTCTGGGAGTCCAAACTGCTGCTGGTGCCTTTGGCAGCAGGAGCATCTCTTTAGCTGTCTCTTAATCAACATAACATGCAGATTATTTGGATAAAACTGGAGCAGGCCTGTGAATAATCATCACAGGCCCTTGAAGGCAGAGGACTAAAGTTCAATCTTTTACTCTAGCTAATTCTAATTTTAATTGACCACTTAATATCTGTACATGGATCTAAGACATTAAATTAATGTTCCCTAACATGTTTTCCTCCTGAGCCCTTCCAAAAGGGATTTGGTTTGTGCTGCAGCACAGGAATGGCTGGCATGAGGTGGGAAGGCTTTTCTGGTGGGGGACCCCAGGATTGCTGTTGATTTTCTCATCAGACTCTCTCAGAGCTGTGCAGGTGCCTCAGAGCCTTGTACTGAGTGCTGTGGAGCTTGAAGCTGAGCCTCTGGTCAGTGCTGGTGTCTGGGATTAGTCTGCAGAGAGAACTGGCACTGTGGGATGAAAGCCAAACTGAGCTTTCCTTGTACACCCACAGCCAGCAGAAGTCCTCAGAAGAACTGCAAGTGAATGGGGCTCCATGCCAGAAATAACTCCTTATGTGTTGGTGTGACTTCCTGGAAGGAACTGCAAGATGGTGCTGCTTCATCTCCCCCTCATCCAGAGCCTTCTGCTCCCAGATGCTGTTACCAGAGTGTAGGAATGCTCCCCAACTGGTTTCATGCCTTTGCAGTCAGTGGGGCAAGCAGTGGGGTGGAGATGTTCTAATTCTAGGGCTGAGCTTTCCATGGGAGCAGCACTTCCCACGGTGTATTGGGAAAAAGATGGGTCACTGGCCTGTGCTCATTCTGGGTCACTAATCATAAGATCACAGAATGGAATGGTTGAAGGGACCTTAAAGATCATCTACTTCCAACTCCCCTGATGTGGGCAGGGAAACCTTCTACTGCCCCAGGAAAAAAGGACCTGGGGAGATTCCCCAGACCAAATTCCTGCTTGTGGTGTGAAAACTGCCATTGGAGTATGTTGTTCAGGGCTGTGTTGGATTAAATTATATGTATACACTAGGATGGAAATGCTTCCACTTTCCTAGTCCTATTTATCTTCACAGACTTGCCACAGGAACTTAAGGAGGAAAATTGGGAGAATGGTTTGTGTATTTCTGAGTTGCAGCTTCCCTTCAAGTCTAGGGCAGAGTGTGACAAAGACTTGCTAATCCCTCTGCAGCTGCTGGAGATGCCAGAGGGCCCATCAGTGAGGAAGTTCCAGCTGCTGACCTCCCCTTTTGTGGGACAAGTGGTGGTCAAGGTGGGGGGAAGCAGCCAGAAGCTCAATGTCAATGACCTGAATGCCCTGAAGCTCCAGGACTCCCAGGTGAGCTGTGCTGCAGTTGAATTTACAGATCAGTAACAAGTCTGAGGGAAGTCACCATTGTCCTGCACCCGGGTGACAGAAGGTGCAAAACCTGTGAATGCTTCCCTGGGGGTTTCACCTGGCTAAGTTGAGGTGTCTGTGCTGTGGGTACTTGTCAAAAGTCACACTAGGCCAGTCCTGCTTGGGCTTCACCGGTCTGATACCTCCAGATGATGATTTGGACCTGACTGGCCAAACCCTGGTGCAGCCTCACCTCTGATTAACGGTGGGGAGCAAAATGAAAAGCATGAAATGCACCCAAGCACAAAGTGGGAAGATTAATCAGAACTATGATAAGAAGTTTCAAACCCCTGAGTGTGTCTCCTGGTGGGCCTGATGGGAGCCCCTGGGAGGGATTCAGAATTGAGTGGCATCCGAACACCTTGTGCTTCAGGCAGGCAAAGACAGGAATCTGCAGGGATGACCCCAGCTCTGATGGGAATGGCTTGGATGCTGATGAATCCCATGTTCAGGGTGGGCTGATGTGCCCTCTAATAGAGGTTGTAGAAAATAAATCACTTGTATTGAAACAGCCAGAGGTTTTATCCCTGAAAGTGTTCAAAATCATGTTGGATGAGGGCAGAGCGACCTGGTCTAGTGAAGGTTGTCCTTGCCCATGGCTAGGGGCTTGGAATGAGATGAGCTTTAAGGTCCACTCTAACCCAAGTGTTTCTAGAATGATCCTTTATGGATCATCAGCACATCCCACCTCTTTCTTCAGGTTCACGGCAAGAACTTGTACCTGGCATTTGTGGCAGCTGAAGGTCCCTTAGGAGCAACTGCAGACGAGACAGTGCTGCAAAGAGAGGCTGCTTGTGGGGCACACTGTCCTCCCCGAGGACAGGTTGGTGCACTACATCCCCATTCCCAGGATGAGGAGCTGCAGGAACCCCAGCACTCAAGATCTGAAGCCCCAGAGGCAGCAGAGGGCCGGGGCAATTGGCTGCGCATCCACTTTGGCATGTTCGGCAGCGTCCGGGCAAACGAGTTCTCGAGGGCAAACAAAGCCAATAAAAGGGGGGACTGGAAGGATCCTGTGCCCAGGTATTTACTTTTCTCTTTTCTCCCAAACCAAATCTGTGTGGGAATGCTCTTAGCCTTGATTTTCTCTGATAATTTTTAAGGCATGAGTGAATGTGGGGTGTGCTCAGCCAGAGAATCCACAGTGGAATTGTAGGATGCAATTACCTGGCGATTATAGTAATCTCTGCTCAAATTTTTATCTTGAAGAGAGACGTTTTAGGATGCCAGGCTGAATAATGCCCTAAAAATGCCAGTTTCTCCCAATTATGTGTTTTTAAAAAAGCTTTGGATAAATAGCAAACGTCTCATACACCTGGAGTCACAGGCTGGAGTGATGCTGTTGAAGGCAGTAGTGAATTGAAAACATGGTTCTGGTTTGTGTCCTATATCCCACTGGAATTGTACAGAGCAAGGAGAAACAGCTTCCAAGAGAAGCTGTGGCTGTCCCTGGATCCCTGGAAGTGTCCAAGGCCAAGCTGGACAGGGCTTGGATCAACCTGGGATAGTGGGAGGTGTCCCTGCCCATGGCAGGGGGTGGCCCAAGATGATCTTTGGGATTGCTTCCAACCTAAACCATTCTATGATTCTTTGATTTTTTTGAAGGATGACTTTATTTCTGTACAAGTATTTTTCGATGTAGTTTTTTGTGCTGCTTTTAACATTAATTTCTCTGAGTTGTGGACTGTACTGCTGGGAACTTGGTTATCCAGGGTCACAGGGCAGCAGAAAGAAAAACTCTCAACCAGTTGTGTGGGTTCCCCACCAAGCTTGATGGCTGCAATCATTAAAGATTGCCTTGGGACAGTGGCCAGCTGCAGAGTGTAACAAGTAGTTCAGAGATGTTTCTGATGAGAGACTCCCAACTTCCCTGCTTCTCCCAGGTTGGTTCTGCACTTTGAGAGTGGAGGATTCCTTGTTTTCTACAACTGCCGGATGCTCTGGTGCTGCTCTCCGAGTGCTGACCCTGCTTCTGACATCCTGTCTGTGCAATTCCACCGTGGCCGGGCCCTGCGTGCCCTCTGTGCACCCGAACCCATCTGCTACACCCTCCTAGACCAAAAGTATTTTTCAGGGCTGGGTGAGTTCTGGGGAATTGGGGCAGAAAGAGAAATGGAGGAAGGTGGGTGGGATGTCTACAGATGTAGAAGGGCATGTCTGGGCAGTTTTCTTTTTAATCTAAGAGCTTTTGGTTGATCCAGCTGAGGGCATGAGGTCATCTTTAAGGTCTGTAAGAACAGTAGAGGGAAGAGAACCTCTTCCAGTCCAATCCCAGCTCTAAGTCTACTCTTTGGATGTCACCTCTGGTCCAGGGAATGGTGTTGCTGGCTGTGATCCTCGAGGCAGAAATCACAGGTTGGAGCCAGCAGCCTGCATTGCCTTGATGAGAAATATCCTTACTGTCTCCTTGTTTCTGGCCCCTTCCAGGGAACATCATTAAGAACGAGATCTTGTACCTGGCCAGGATCCACCCATTAACACCAGGCTCCCTCTTGGCTGTCTCAGATCTGGAGCATCTGCTGGACTGTGCTGTTCAGTTCAGCTCTGAGTGGCTGCACAACAAACTGCGTGGCCAAGGGCTGCACCCCCAGGTGTACCAGAAGGAGCAGTGTCCCCTGGGGCATCCCCTGATGAAGGACACTTTTGGACCCTCGGGTGGCTTCAAGAGACTGACGTGGTGGTGCCCTCAGTGCCAGCCTGCGGTGCTGCCAGGGGATGGGGACCCTTCCCCAGTCACTGAGTGACCTGTCCTGCAGGGTTGTCTCTGAGCCATGCTCTTTGTTGTGCTAGAAGGCCTCTGTGGTTTTTTTGAGGCTGTTGAGTTTGGTCCTTAGGGAGTTGGCAGAGTTAAGCACTCAGTGGAGATGCCCTGAGTGGCTGCAGAAAGGAAAAAGTGGATTTCCTTTTTTTTTTTTTTTTGTCAGGACTCGTACTGGCACCAAACATGATGACCAGTTCTGAGATGTTTTGGTTGCCCTGTTCAGGNCCCTGAGTGGCTGCAGAAAGGAAAAAGTGGATTTTTTTTTTTTTTTTTTTTTGTCAGGGTGGCACAGCCGTGTAAAGAGTTTGACCAGTTCTGAGATGTTTTGGTTGCCCTGTTCAGGTGGCAGTGGATGGGAAGTGTAAAAGGTTGAGCACGGGATTGCTGTGGTCTGAACTGACCCTATCCCTTGACCCTGGAGGAGTCAGCAAAACAGAGGATATCCCTCTGCCTAAACAGCTTGATTAATTAGGAATTAAATAATCCTGCCTCTGTCTGGAGCTGAATGCCTGTGTGCTGGGCTGTGATTGGGTGTGGTTAAACCTGAGGGGCTGTTCCCTGTGTCAGATGTGACAGGAACCTTCCTGTCATGTCTCCTTCCTTCCATGTCAACATATACAAAATATACGTCAGCAGTGCTTGGTGGAGCTCTTAGCTGCACCCACAGGCTTCAGCTTTGTGGCAAACTGCCAATCCAGATCTCACTGTAAAAATAAAAGTGTGTGACAGTGTTGTAAAAACTCGGGATCTCCAAGGAAACCTGAAAGCAGAAAGGTTTGGAAATAGAGCTCTGTCTCTGTATGTTAGGTGGGAACTGCTGCTGTCCTCTCTCCCTGGATTTGAGTTTCTTTTAATAATAAGTTGTTGACTTGAGCAAAAAAAATAAAAGTTGTAATTAGAATTGGTCGTGTTCATCTCAAGTGTGTCCTTTCTGGCAGTTTCCTAGTTAAAAACTGGAGAGTACATGGAAATTCCAGCTGCCTGGAATTGATTAACTACATCTTTGGTGCTGCCTGAAGGGTGGTACCAATGATTTTCCTTAGCTGTGTAAGTGTTCTCATTAATGGGAACTAGACTTAAAGATGGATTGCAAATCAGCTGGGAATGCTGGAGGTAAACACCTCCGTTGTACGCAGCTGCTTCCTAGGCAAGGCTTGCAGAGCCCCTCCCCTGTGAGCTGCGACACCTTTGAGTGGTTGCAGGTTATGGGATTGCTGAATAAACCAATTAATGGGATTATGGGGCCAAAGAAGGTGGTTAATGATGAAAAGTGCCCTTCCAAAACAAAGCATCATAGAATATCCTGAGTTGGAAGGGACCCACAATGATGATAAAAGCCCAACTTGTGGAAGAAAACCACTCGCAAAACAGAACCCCAAAAGCTGAATCTTGCATTTTGAAGGATGAGGATGCAGCTGGGTATGTGGACTGTCTAGAGGAGGCCATGGAGATGTTCCAAGGGCTGGAGCCCCTCTGCTCCAGAGCCAGGCTGGGAGAGCT